TCCATTCTGGCGCCCCTCCTGACGGTCCGTGCAACCTGGGAGAGGAAAGCGTTTTCTCTGTAATTGTTGGCCGGAATCCCAGAAGCACAAATCAGCCTTCCCAGATCGGACCGAACAAGAGAACACATGCTGCAGAAACTTGGAAACATACAGCGGTCGACTTCATCGCCCCCCAGGACGCCGGGCGAGAGGGATGAGACGGCGGCCCAATGTGGGCGCAGGGGAGCGGCCGGGCCTTCATCATTGTAATTAGGGTTAGAGTTCACAACACAGAGCTGCTGGAGAGACCCAGAAAAGTAAAACCCCCGGCAGCCAGGGGGCGAATATAACCGATCGACCTGACGCAGCATTTACAGCCTCTGAGTGGCCCGCCATATTGGCCTGCCTGAAAATGATCAAGCTGTGTGGGCTCTTAACGTATAAAAAACAAAACTTGTCCCCACCGGGAGGATTTTCCCCATCACTTCCTGTCTTGTAGACTCAACATCTTCTTGGTTGTCACAGGACCAAGCGTCCCCATTGGAAGATTACCCCTTTATTCCTGTTCTGGCGGCAATGCAGCTTCCATTTTCGTGTGTGACAATCGAAGAGAGCAAAGCGCCCTAACTGGGGATGCAGACAGCAATAAAAACATGACGGTGGTTCTAACCCTTCACTACTCCTTCTCAAATCTAAAATAAGAAAAGTCTTGCCTTTAGTTATGTACTTTTAAGGCACTTAATCTGCACTGATGGCAATGCTAAAGTGGCTTTTGGTCATATTGTCTGTATCATTTCAGCATGCCTTAAGCACATTTGGCATCTTGCCCTGGAGCAGTGTCTTCTGATGATTACTGGGATGTCAGATACATCTCCCCACATAGCTGACAGAATCTACAGTGTAACCCCCCATTCATGGGCATGGCCGATTCCCCACCCCCAAACCGCGAGGAGCGGCATCTCTCACCACCACCAGGAGAAGCAAAATGGCCAGATAAAAGCAATCCACATACACTATACAGTGAAGGAGGTATGGTATTTGCTCCCCGGCTGATGCTGAATGTTCGCCCCTCGACACAGAAATGATCGGTCTAACATGGAAATGTTCGCCCCTCCCACAGAAATGATCGGTCTAACAATGGAATGTTCGCCCCTCACACAGAAATGATCGGACTAAACAATGGAATGTTCGCCCCTCACACAGAAATGATCGGTCTAACAATGGAATGTTCGCCCCCTCACACAGAAATGAATCGGTATATACAATGGAATGTTCGCCCCTCACACAGAAATGATCGCTCTAACAATGGAATGTTCGCCCCTTACACAGAAATGATCGCTCTAACCAATGGAATGTTCGCCCCCTCACACAGAAATGATCGTTCAGCGTCTAACAATGGAATGTTCGGTGTAACACTGAGAGACAGAAAGACAATAAACAACAAATTCAGCAGAAAAGCGTCGAACAAATGATGACTGATCTGCATGTTCATGAGGGATAGGAAAGAAGGATTCCATCCCCTATCATTCAGCAGGATTTCTGGCTCCCAGGTGTCTCTCATACAGGTAACAAGCTGAGATTAGAAGCAGTCTCTTAAAGGGAGTGCTGCTAATCTCATTGTGTTACCTGTATAAAAGGACACCTGTCCACCAGGAGCAATCAAACCATCAGATTCCAAACTCTCCACCATGGCAAAAAGACAAAGAGCTGTCCAAGGATGTCAGGGACAAGATGGTAAGACCCTACACAAGGCTGGACTGGGCTACCAAACTATGGCCAAGCAAGCTTGGTGAGAAGGTGACAACAGTTGGTGCAATCATTCACAAATGGAAGAAAACACAAAACAAGTGTCATTTCCCTTCCCCTAGGTCTGGTGCACATGCAAGATCTCACCTCGTGGAGTGTCAATGATCATGAGAACAGTGAGGAATCATCCTAGGAACTTCACGTGAGGATCTTGTCAATGATCTCAGGCAGCTGGGACCAAACAATGTCACCAAGAACACAATTGGTCTAAACACACTACGCACAAGGACTGAAATCCTGCAGTGCCGCAAGGTCCTTTCTGCTCAAGGAAGCCCATTGTCCAGGCCTGTCTGAAGTCTGCCACTGAACATCTGAATGATGCAGAGGAGGACTGGTGGGAAGTGTTGTGGTCAGAGGAGACCAAAATCCAGCTCTTTGGCATCAACTCAACTCGCCGTGTTTGGAGGAGGAGGAATGCTGCCTATGACCCCAAGAAACACTATCCCAACTGTGAAACATGGTGGTGGAAACATTCTGCCTTGGGGGTGTTTTTCTGCTAAGGGGACAGGACACTGCACCTCATCAAAGGGACAATGGACGGGGCAATGATTACATCAAATCTTGGGTGAGAACCTTCTTCCCTCAGCCAGCGCAATGAAAATGGGTGGTGGATGGGTGTTCCAGCATGACAATGACCCAAAACACACAGCCAAGGCAACAAAGGAGTGGCTCAAGAAGAAGCACATTAAGGTCCTGGAGTGGCCTAGCCAGTCTCCCAAACACCATAATCCGATTGAAAATCTGTGGAGGGAGCTGAAAGTTCGAGTTGCCAAAACGTCAGCCACCAAACCTTAATGACTTGGAGGGGATCTGCCAAGAGGAGTGGGCCAAAATCCCTCCTGAGATGTGTGCGAACCTGGGGGCCAACTCCCAGGAAACGTCTGACCTCTGTGATTGCCAACAAGGGATTGGCCACCAAGTACTGTTTTGTGAAGTACTGTTTTGTGAAGTCATGTTTTGTGAAGGGATCAAATCCTTCTTTCCCTCATGAACATGCAGATCAGTCATCATTTGTTAGACGCATTTCTGCTGAATTTTGTTGTTGTATTCTGTCTCTCAGTGTTACACCGAACATTCCATTGTTAGAGCGATCATTTCTGTGTGAGGGGCGAACCATTCCATTGTTAGACCGATCATTTTCTGTGTGAGGG